GGGGGGGGGGTGGGCAGGACCGAGGCTGCAGCTTACGCTTTTTTTTTTCTGTTTTTTTTTTTAAAAAAACCAGGCAACAACAACGATAACAGATTACCAACTGTAGTATAGAATACAGCACACACACACATACACACAAACAATCATGTGCTCTACTACTACCTCTCCAGTATTGATAACCAAAAGTTGAAGTAAAAGAAAAGACATTGGAATACTAACATACAACGCAAGAACGTGTTACAAGAAATTCCACTCCACAAGGAAATTCAAGCTTGTGGTTTTGTAATACGCTTCCTTTTTTTTTTCTTCGTTCTTCCTCCATCTCTATTTCCATCAACATTCTTTTTTTCGAACGATACATCCATGGCAAGAGATCTGGCTTAAAATGAGGGGCAGAGGAGGAGAAAGAAGGTGGGGGGGAGGGGGGGGGGCAGAGGGATATATGATATGATCCGACTGGTTTCCTGCAGTCCGGGATCACGCTGTTGCTCGTTCGTCCTGACATGAGAAAGAAGCCCGACAAGATTGTGTTCGGAAATATTCAATTGAAGAAACCTGGTATTACGTATTACTACATGATATACTTACTCATACTATACATGGCCTTTCGGGAGGGCCGTGTTTATTTTTCCTTTTTTTGGGTAACCTCAGATTCATAACCCACATCATATTGGATTCGTGAATCAACGTTGCAGATTCTGGGGGATTTCGTAGAGCCATATGACAGACACAGATGGAACACCATGAAAGAGAGAAGGAGAAGCAGCCAGACCTCTACACCCTTTAGCCGCTCATCCAAGATGTCGCCTGTCTGGCACCGAACGACGTTGCGAGACGGAGACCAGCTGTACCCATGGGAAAGTAGCTGACGAGGTACCAAGACAGGCAGGCAATCTGGACCAGGGCAGATAGCAAGGTGAGGATGGTGCTGTGAAGCTGTTTGTTTCGACAGTAGTCAGCTACCGTTCCTTGGGAGAATACATGCATCATATCATTTGCCGATGCAGGGGAACGAAGGAAGAAACAGGTCACCGCAGGGGCGTAGGAGTGATGTGTAGGGGGAATAAACAGTCTTTCCCCCATGAGTAGCGTTTTCATACCTTGACAGCAAACACCAGCGTCATGGCGATAGACCCAAAGTACGCCGTGGTAAAGGGCAGCCTGGGCACCGAGAAGAGGTGATAGGCGTAGTTCATGGGCCCCATAACGGCAGCGAACGAAGCCAAGAACATGGCTGAACCGACGGTCCACCTGCATGGAATCGTGTTAGAAAAATCTTGTAATAAATGCCGTATACGACGGTCCCATCGGGAGAAGAAGAGTATGCGTGTATGTGTGCGTCTGTGTATGTGCGCCGTTGAGCTTGGATATGGCGTGTGGTAAAGTGGGGGAGGGTCACGGCACTTGTCGACATGGGTGTCATGCGGGCGCCATCACATGTGACACGCAACATGGGAAAGCAACCAGGACGCTAGGCGAAAGATCGATTTTCTTCAACTTACAGTATCACGAATTTTCTGGGTCTCAGGGAGAGAACCGGGAACAAGGTGAAACATATGACGAAGCAGGCAGCGGCGGCAAGGTTGCAGGCGCCAAAGATCATCAACCGGTCCCATCGGCTTACTGTTGTTTGTCAACATCTCAGCCAATGTGCAACTTTTGTTGGCTTGTTTCTTCTCTTCTCCGCCTCTTCTCAACGGGAGGGCCTTGCATTATCCCCCCAACAGATATGCAACGCTATGTCATCGAGACCGAGATGCAATGCACATTCCCGGCGCAGGGGGGCCATCCATGGGCAAGGCGAAATGCCATGCTGAACAGAGAAGATAATCTGGTCCTTGTGCGACTCCGCGAAGAGGGGAGAGAGTCGGGAAAGCAGGAAAGAAAAGAGAGCGACTCACGAGCAAACCAGCCTTCTTCCTCTTCTCGTCGACTAGGAGCAGGAAGGGGGGCACCGGGACCTTCGTTCGTGGGAAGGCTGACATATCCGGAGTCGCGAAAGGGGTTCAGGTTCCCAATCGTAGACATGAATCCCCCTTGTTGGGGCGCGGTGCTGATGGGCTCGTCATTGCGACGGCTCCAACCCAGCGAGTTGAATGAGTCTCGTAGTGATGCGGATGAGTTCATCGTGTAAATCTGAGTAGCGGGTGGTATTCGATGGGCAAGAGGGGCGTCGGCGCGCCAGCGCACACAGAGCGTCGAGCAGAGGTGATCGGTCGTGTTCTTCGTGCCAAAGGAGTTTTCGGTCGATGGCACGGTGTGGTGGGCTCGAGCGAGCAAGTAAAGCACGGCAGGCCAAGGAAAAGAAAAGGTCTAAACCCGTAAAGCTCGATACAGTCCTAAATGCAGAATTTGCTCCACTCTAGGACACGAATATGGTCAGTTGGAGACGCGGCATGATACAAGGTCGCGTCGAGGCTGGGGGTGTGGGAGAGTGGATGATGACGTCTCAGTGCCCGCCTACGCAGGTAGGCGGGCAGGGCAGTACGGATAGTATTCGTAAAGATGTGGTGGCTGAGAAGGGAGGGGAGGGGGGGAGGGTAGGTAGTCGGGAAGCTGGAATCTGGGAAAGGGGGGTCGCGAGATGGGTAGCAAGCAAGCAGGCAAGCAAGCAGACGAAGCCTCCTGTGTACACACTTACCAGTACTTTGCCACTTCTGGAGAGGCTCGACAGGTGCTAGGGGGGAGCTAGGGGACAAGGGACGGGTCGTGACCGCGTGTTCCGCACAGGAGAGAGAAGGGGAAGAACAGAGGGGGGGGGGGGGGGGGGGGGGGGGGGGTTGATGTGAGTAGCAGCAGCAGAGGAGCCCAAAGACTGTCGGCGTCGTATCGTGGTGGAAAAGAGGGCGGGAAGGTAGTCGAAAGGACAGGATGTGGGCGGTCAATCAAGCCGGCTAATCAGAGCGCGGACAGGCGACTGGGCAGAGCAGGAAGGAGGGGGGTGGGACCGCTCACATGATTGGGCGCATTTGGTGGTACGTACTGCTCTGATCTAGTACCCGTACCCAGGGTGGGCGAGATGGTCCGCAGACTGCTAGTATTAGTACAAAAGGCGAGGGAAGAAGAAGACGTACGTCATAACTCTGTATTACTATGCATGTTGTTTAGGGAAGCGGAGTTGTGGTGCAGATGTTGTGTATGGCTGTTTTGCCACAAGAATGCTGTTCCATCTAGTCGCAACCCAGTATTACTGCAAACTTGTAGGAGTAGGGTGGGCAGGATATGCGGGGGGGATAGAGCACACGAGGCCCTACAAGAGCCGCTATCAGTGAGTCTCCAGTGTATTCTGCATATTATCTGCTACTATGTATTATTAATTCTCCGTGCCCGATGTCAGAACCAACAACCAACAATCCAGCCATGATATGATGCATAGTTGCTGCCATACTCGACTTGATTCCCGGGAAAATCTTCACCTTGTATTACTGCATGTACGTAACATGTAAGGGATCGGTACTAGCAGAATTCATGCTTGTGCCAAGGTGCTAGTACTGCGGATGAAAGAAAGACGGCATACATGCACCCGTACAGGGCCCGTACCGTATCGTGCTTCATGGCAGTAAATATAGAAAGAGGGGCGACGTGGAGACGATGGATATCGGCGGGATGGGTAGAGGGACTATAGTAAAGAGTGGCAGGCAGGAAAAATGGGTTGCAGCGGGCAGATCAGAGCTGCAGTTGTGCGCGCATACAGGAGCCATGCATGAACTCGTAGAGGGATCGACCTTGCTTTCATATGAGAGAACGAACGATGTGGCCTTGGTTGGTCGTAGGTTCTGCTTTGACAGGATATGCCTTGACGCATATGCCAGTCGCCCCCCCCCCCCCCCCCCCCCCCCCCCCCCTCACCTCCACACGCATCTGGCCGTCCCCCCAGGGCTGTGTACAAAGATCCGACTCTAAAATATGCGAGGNTGATGGTTGCTGGTGCTGCTATTGTTATCACTGCTCAATACTCCGTACTGGTACATATTTGCGTCACCTCACCTCACCCCCCCCCCCCCCCCCCCCCCAACCCTTCCCTCACCTTCACCCTCCTCCAGTTCCCTCCAGAGGGCGGGGTACAAAGTACCGGCTCTCGAATATGCGAGGCTAGCAAGGAAGCTGGACGCAAGATACGATTACTACTTACAACTGCTGCATACAACTGTCAGGATCATCGCAGCTCTGTACAGAGAGGAACAGCAGCAGAAGCACAAAAGATGGTGACAATGACCAAAGCACGATGAACGAGGCAGACCAGAACAGCGACGAGCGGACAGCAACCAACAACCGTGGGAGTCAGAGCATAAACAAGGCTGTCAGCCACGAGAGCATGTGAACTCGTCGAGACGAAAAAAGAACAGGGACATTCTTGACCGGATCGAGTCATGATCAGGCTGAGCAAGCAACAACAATTGTTGGACAGCGTCAGAACCAGCACCATCGACCAGACATTCCCGTCCAGTACTCAGCCTGGACGTGGCCGCGTGAACAAGGCTGATGATGGATGCCGTGATGGCATCGTGCGCGCGGCCGCACCAAACCCATGACCGGGAGCTAAGAAGAGGGCGGGTCCCACACATGACGCCTCAAGGGAGAGAGGGAGAGAGAAGGAGAGAGAGGGAGAGAGAGACTGGATATCATCCCAGCCAGAAAACAGATTATGGGCGGCCAAGACCAAGTACTCGTACTTGAAAGTGTCTTAAATCTCATGTCACGTTGGGACTTGTTCGCTCAAGAAGGAGGTGGGGGGGGGAGCTGCATCCACCCATAGAAGTGAGGACCGCCCCTCCCACACACAACCAAGCTTGCAGAAGGAAAAGAAAGGAAATAAAGGGATAATTATATGAACATATACATCTTTAATAGAAAATGGGAGGTGTGAAGGGGAATGCGACTCTGTTCAGAGCTGTAGATTGCGCACCCGCGCCACCATCACTAGTACCCATGTATCTCTTGTAAATAATAAGTCAGAAGACGTAAAGTTTGGTACATAGGGGTATGGGGCTTTGCTTTGAAGGAGGGCATATGATGAGGTTGAGGAGGATTCCCGTCGTGGCGGTCATAGCCTTCCGTCGTTCTCTGAGGGACCCAAGGTATAAAAGCCATGGTGCAGGACGTTCCCCCCCCCCTTCCCCCCTCCGTATCCCTTGTATCTTGTGTTTCTCAGCTGCTGCCCGCCCAAGTTCAAACACACCCACGAGAACCAAGAACTATTGCCTGCCCTGCCCTGCTTTTATGCGCAAACAAACCAAAAAGCAACGACTCGCATATATTGCACTCGGGAAAGTCTTGGCATCACATCACTGTGCACCCACCTCTCTCCCCCCGGACCCGGCTTTTTTATACGAGTGGAAAGACGTGTTACAGTCCGTATCATTATATACGACTGTATTCACTTGTTAATTACTACCACTACTCCTACCCTCTTTGTGTCTATCTTGCCTCGTCCATTAGTATTAATGAGACCAGGTCCTCTTCCCTCCACTCTCTGCGACATAAAAAAAATTCTTTCATCTCTCTTCGTTCTACAAGAGTCTTACAGCTCTTGTTATTTCTGATCAGTTTTCGGTCAAACCTGTTGGCGGTTACATAACGCACGTGCTTCGCCTCACGAAGCCACTTCCTCATTGCGACTTTCCTCTCGGGCCGCCTGTGCCTTCCCGTAAAGTCTGGCGCACCACCTTTCGTGAGAGAGCCCAAGGCAGGTTAAAAACTGACAAGCTCGTACTAAGTCGATTTTAGCACTATTATTGTTTTGGAGTATCACTACCATAAACGGTCCTACTACGGTACTGGCCTGTTGGCAATCGTCAAGTAATACAACTACTTGGCCTGCTCGCATCCGGTGCATCCAGGCCGCCGCATCTTTCCTCTTCTTCAACATCTACACACACACAAACCAACTCCTTGTCCTATCCATCCATGCCCCGCGTCAACCATCGAAACCGCGTCCCGTTGAGAACCGTCTCCATCAACCGCTGCAGCCATATTGGAGCTACTGCATCTTGCCTGCAGCCACCTATCCTCTCGACTATCACGGCTATCCCACCACTCTTCTTTTTTGTCTGGTCGGAGCCACTCTAATAGCGCCGCCAAAGCACTCCTACCACGGACGGAGCTGAAGAACCGCCACCATTTCGCTTGGCGTCAAGACCAGCCGACAGCGTCGATTATTACATCTCGACAGAACAATAACGGCCAGCCGTATTGCCGTTTCTGCTGGTAGGTTCATCTTCCCCTCACTTCTTTCTGGTGAGCGCTTGGCCTTGTTCGGGCCAAGATACATATCGCCGTCATCTCCATCTCTCCCTCCATGGTCCATCCCCCCATACTCGTATAACACGAGTGCTTGCACCCGTCTCTTTTCCCAGCTTCGATTTCCCCTATCCTCACCCAACTCTGGCTACGTGGTTTATTTGACGGCGGCGCATGCTCCTTGTCTGGGGGGGGCCCGCCGATCTGTCCTCTCCCCCTCATCCTACTCCCTACCACCACTACCCATCATTGATCAACGCAACTCACCCTCCGTCAAGCCCGAGTCTCTGCTCTGTCTTACCTTGTTACGTGCAAAGGGGACTAAATAAATAACTTTTACCAGACCCACCGCTCCTTGACCTCTTTAACCGCCATTCCACAGGCGTGCGTGAGAGCTACCCTCCTCTGCCTCACACAATCACTCCTCACCGCCCAAGGTACGACATCTACATAACGTACTACAAGTACACCACAGCGGCACTTGCCGAGTATATAGCCGAGTATAATACAAGGCGTGCCCAAAGAACTACTCCCGCGGTAGTGGTTGGCCTCTCTAAGTACTTCTCAGCATCTCAAAAGCCAAGGTATTCAATCCCATCCTTCTCTTTTGCCCCCCGCCACACCCGAACCCTCTCCTTAGGTGCTGCGCCCAGTGGCTCCAGCGCCCAAATTCAGTGCTCACTCAGCGCACTCAAGGCTCCTAGCCTCCCCTCTTTCTCTCCCCACTAGCCCATTCCTTTAGCGTCAAGCGTCTCCCCCTCCACGACCGACGTCGCACTCTCTCCATTGCTACTTTTCCCCATTATTACCACAACCAACTTACTTCCACCCCTCGCCGTCACCATCATTCATCATTCATCTTGCGCATCACCGCTCCTCATCCCCATCACGCCGTCACGTGCCCCACGATATATGCTTCCTTCCCTACCCGTCTCATATTTCTCAAGGTGAGAAAATCAAAGGAACATAACACTATTGCCTGCCCAGAATATCCCTTGGTCTTCCTGGCCCTTGCTGCCTAGGGCTGCCACCTGGTGGGTCGTCATCGCTCGGACCTTATTCTCCAGCCCACCACCCCTCCTTCTGTCCCCAGACTCCCTTTTGGCCTCTCCCCAGTCTCTTGTCCCCTCCATCGGGCGCGCTGACGAAGTCCAGCCATCCATATCGACTCAACAGCTCGGACTGTATACTGTCTGCGCCGTATTGCATCGCATCTCCCAAGGAGATACAGATCCTCACTTCGTTCTTACGTCGAGTCAGATTGTCGCATCGCCACACGCGCACACCGCAGTGACGTCTGCATCGCCCTCACCATGGCACAGCACGGCTTCACGACTGTCACCCCTACCGGGTCGGGCATCGACCCCAATGCCTTGAATATGGGCGGAAGCTACAACCAAACCTTCGCCAGCGAAGGCTACGGCAACAACGCCAATAACAACAACCACTCGGGCAGCGGCCCCAGCGCCTTCGCCACTGGCTCCTCCCTCATCGCTGATGAGGATCTCCTCGATGGACTCGGCGGCGACTCCGGTGGCCACCATGGCCTGGGCACCAACCAGGACTACTCCGGCTTGAACATGGGCTTCTCACAAGACGCATACCAGGCACACCGTCACAGTTCAGGACTCAGGATGGACCACAACGGCTACTCGAACACACCTGACGGCGAGCCCGTCCCCAGCCCTTTTGCTGCCAGCTTCAACGCCAACTACCGCCAGCAGATGCAGAACCCCTCCATGGCTACGTCACTCCACTCACCCATGTCGTACCCCGAAGGCAACGATCAGTCCTTTTTCAACGCCAGAACTCGCATGTCCCGAGTGTCGCAACAGATGCAGCGCAAGCCCTCCAGCAACAAGAATAGCAGCAACAATAATGCGGCCCGGAGGCCCATGACCCCCAAGACGAGCGCCATGCACGGACTATCTCTCGGATCCAACGATTCCCCCAACTTTGGTGGTCAGTCTATCCAGACGGTCGGCTCGCATGAGAAGTCGCCCCCCGGACAGTGGCTCAACACGCCGACCGGCAGCTTTCCCGCATCCTACAACTCGGGCTTCTCATCCCCCATGCAGCAGCAGGCCATGGTGCCGCCCATCGACGAGGTCATGGTCAAGGGGGGAACTTCGATGACCGCCAAGTTCAGCGGGCCCAACGCAAACGGCGGCAGCGGCCCCATCTCATCCCAGGAGGCCAAGAGGAAGCGTCGGCGTGAGTCACACAACCTCGTTGAGCGTCGTCGCCGTGACAACATCAATGAAAGGATACAGGACCTCAGCAAGCTTGTCCCCCTGCACCGCCTGGAAGACGACAAGATCCGGAAGCTGATCCAGAACAGCACTCCGCTGTCCCCCACGCTAACTGGCATGTCAACCCCGTCTCAGGCTACCTCCGGCCTGGCCGGACCTGGTGCGAGGAGGGCTGCCGGAGCCGCCGGAAACATCACGACTGGTCTGCCCGTAGAGGACAAGGACAAGGGCCCCAACAAGGGCGACATCCTCAATGGTGCCGTCAGCTGGACCCGTGACCTGATGTGGATGCTGCACATCAAGCTCCAACAGCAGGAGGAGCTCATGAACAGCCTCGCTGAGGCTGGCCAGCCCTTCCCATTTGAATTCACCGACGACGAGCGCCGTATGCAGTCCGAACTCATCGAAGCCATGTCCAAGAATGACGGTGGTAGCTTTACCTACTCGAGGACGAATGGTTCCGGTCTACGCGTCCCCGCCTACACAGACTACCGCGGCAACAGCAACTCGGATGTGCCCCCCACCAGCCTGGACTCTGTGAGCATCACGCCTCCCGATAACGGAAATTCGGCCATTATCGATGACCTCGCCGACACCAACCAGTTTTGGCAGGAGCCCGATGACGACGTGAACGGTCATGGCCAGCTCAACTTTAGGGACGACGATGACTACACCATGGACCTGGGACACTGAGTCTTGACATGTCACCACGCCGTCGCTCGTCTATGCTGGTCTGAGGGCAGGGCAGGGATCCTCACATCATGGCGACGTCGTTCTTCTCTTGCCATTTCATTTTCCCGCGTCCACTGCAATCTACACGAATATGAGAAGTTTATGCAATCTGGGTCCTTGTTTGTCTCTGGCGTTTCCCAAGGGGGTTTCCCAAGGGGGTTTCCCAATACAGGGGTTTTGTTTTTTTCAACGGCTCATCGGTGAATGATGCCCAGACAATACATCTGCATGGTTACCGGATTTCATCATATACAAGCGGAAACCCCCGTTTTCTTGTTTGCATGTTTTATCCGTTTCAATTTTCCTATACAGTAGCGCTTGGAGTTTTTTTTTTGTTTGTTCTCTTATAACCACTCTGGCTCCCCCCCTTCCCTTTTATATTCTTTTTTTCTCCCCTATCCCCTCCTTTACCCTCCGTTTCAACGTCTTTTTTTTTCTTTCCGTCTAGTCTTATCTCTCTGCGATACCTCGGGGCTCTTTGAGAGAGAGAGAGCCACCTTTCTTCTTCTTTTCTCTTATATTGTTCTTCTGGCTGCTTCTTTCCTTTCTTCTCCTTATTTTTTGGTGGAAGCGCTTTATGTTAAGCTTGTCTTTTTTTTATACTTTTTATGGGAGGCCTGGCCTCTCTGGGTTTTGGAGGGTGTGCAGAGTTTATCATTCATCTATTGCTTATAATTGATATGGTCTTGGTCTTCTTCATAACATCCAGCGTATTGAGTTCGTAGTGATTTGCATGCAAGTGTGGTTCAGATTCAAAGCAAGAGTCTGATTTGTGTCTTCTTTATATCATAATCGTATCCAAACAAGATGTGCTATTGATCTTCAGCCCCCCCTGGGGACATCACCAATGCCTCGTACAAAGAACATACTCGGACATGGCGGTCAGAAGGCTCCAGACCTCCTTTCTCTTCATATCCTCCTGAAGGGCGATCCTCTCAAGAGCAGACCGTCCGTCAAAGTACCTGCAGAAGGAGCGCCAGGCGTCGCGCACCTTGTCCTCGCGGAACCTCCTGGATATGGCGGACAGGTAGCGCGCTTCCTTGCCCGTGGTCTTCTTGGCGTCGAGGATGATGTGGGGCGCGATGCCTATGAGGTGGGCGGCGTCATTGAGCGAAGGGTGGGCAGTGGCGAGGGGTGTGACCTTTCTGGCGTGGGCTATGGCGCGCTCAGTCGCCTGCCTGTGGGCGCGGCTGGCTATGCGCTCTAGACGGGCGCGTTCGGCGGCGTGCTCCACTGCTGAGGCGGGGACTCCTACGCCTACGCCTCCTGTCGCCATTACGGGGACATCGGTTGAAGACATTGTTCTCAGCAACGACGGAGGAGGAGGTGTTGATGTCAAGGGAGGATCGAGGGATGCGACTGACGAGGAGGGGGCGGCGGCGGCGGTAGTGGAGGAAGAAGATAGGAGCAGGCTTGATAGATTTGTCAATGATCCGAGGGTTCTGGGGGGCATGGGTGTCGACGGGGTGGTGGTGGTGGGTGAGATGTCATCTGGGGACGTGGAGTTTTGCTGCTGCTGCTGCTGCTCTTCAGCGGCGGCGGCGGCGGCGAGCTCCTCCGTCTCCATCTCGTATTCTACCTCGTAGATGATCTCTGGCCAGACGACGATGTAGGCAAAGGTGCACAGCTGGGTGACCCAGCCCCTGCGCATGAGCCAGGCCAGCATGAGCAGGTAGGAGGGGCGGTGGACCTTGCTGGGGCAGAAGTGCTTGTAGGGGCGGGGCGCCTGGGACAGCTCAGAGAGGAAGTTTGCCAGCGGGGGCGCGACCGGGAACAGTCGCTGCCACTCGAGGCTGTCGGCGGGGAGGCGGCGGGGGTCGCAGTTGGGCGAGACGATGTAGACGTCGCGCGCGTGGAGGGGGGGTATGGCGATGGCGCGGCGCCAGTAGATGAAGTGTTGGGCGTACTTGCGCACCTGGCCCAGCGTGAGGACGTTGGACTGGGCGACCTGGAGGAAGGACGTGGTCGGCTTGGAGAGCCGCACAAACTCCACCATCGACACCGTCGTCGGATCCGGGTCGGCCTGCAGCTCCGACACGATCTTCTTCTCGTCGTCCATCAGGAGCAGGGCGAAGTTGCGGTCCAGGAAGCCAGGCTCGTCCAGCGTGTCCTGTCCCAGGAAGGCGTTGGCCGTCGTCAGCCACAGCCCCGCCTCCTCGCCGCGCGCGTGCTCATGCTGCTGCTGCTGCTGTGCCACCGCCACGTCCGCCACGAAGAAGGGCGCCGGGATCTGGAAGGACGGCGTGAGAATCCCGGCAGTCGTCTCCAGGTGCAGCGCTGCTATCTTGTTCTGACTGACGGCGTTGTAGATGTCTTGAATTGAGGCCGCCAGGGATGAAGTCTGTAGGATCTCTTTCCACAGGATGCTCATCTTCTTCTCTGCTCTGTGTGTCAGGGGGATTGACAGAAAAAAGAAAGAGAGGGAGGAAAAAAAAAAAAGGGGGGGGGGGGGGGGCGCAGGAGAAGGGCGACTCACGAGCCTCACGAGCCTTATCCTTGGCATTCAATATCTTCTTGGATTCCCTCCACACGAAATCACTATGCTGCTGACTGTACTTGTACACCTTGTTAGCCTTCTTGACAATGTGCGTGTACAGCGCGTCGACAAGCTCCCTCGCCTCCGACCGGCCCGGTCTAAGGATGAAGACTAGGTTGAACATTGTCATGGAGCTGTGCTTATCCTTGTCCGCAGCGGCAGCCCCCCCGTCATCCTTCTTATCATCCCTTTCCTTGTCATCCTTGCCGCCGTGGTGGTCATCAGCTACGCCGACCGCAGAGCTAGGTTCATTGGACGTGCTCTGCTGCTGCTGCTGCGGCTGCTGCTGCGGCTGCTGCTGTGGATCGTCGACAGCCATGGAACCCCTGGACTTATCCTTCTTCTTCTTACTGCTCTTCCACCACTTTCCACTCTCGGGGACGTGAATCGGGTACGATACGCAGTGTACCGGGTCAAGCGACAGCTGGAAGAGAGACTTGTGGTACGACCGCGCCGGCGTGAGTATGCCAGCCAGGTCGCGGGTAGGGAAGCCGGCCACGCGCTCCCAGGGGGGCAGGAGAGAGCCGTTGGGTGTCACGTAGGCTCTCTCGCCGTCGGCCCATTGACGTGTCGTCGTCGTCGTCGTCGTCGTAGAGCTGCCATGCCGGCCTGACGAGGACGGGGACGAGGATGGCTGGGAGAGACGACTGAGGAAGATGTCTTCGGCATCCGAGGCTGCGCTGTCGGCCGCTGCCTTGTCGGCGGATGAGCCAGAGGGCACGTTGGGCGGGTAGTGGAACACAAAGGCTGGGCCGTCGCGGGAGCGGTTGATGACGAGTGCGACGCCTAGGAAGTTGTCTGTATTGACGATTGACCTGGCCATGGCTACGGGGGCATTGCTGTTTTTTTTTTTTTTTTTTTGTTCTTTTTTTCCCTCCTCTTGTTTTGTCGAGTCTAGTTTTTCTTCTGCGCTTGGAGATTTGACGGACGGGTGTACAGGTTAATTCGGGTTGATTACAGATGCCCGGGCCCAATTGAGGCCGATGATATCGGATGAGAGCATCGCGATAATGAAACGCCTGATGTGTGTCGAAGGGTAAGTGTGAGTGAGAGTGAATATCTGCGCCACATCATGGCACAGCAGCGTGAGAGTTGGGGGATGTGTGGCTGTATCATTCACATGTGTTGTTGCCTGAGGCCACAAATTTATATAGGTAAGCGACTAATTCAGGGTACGAATAATCTGTACAGATTACCCATCATCGATGCGGGGCTCTTTCGTCGCAGGGAAAGGAGGGGGGGGGGGGGGGGGGGGGGGGGGGGGGGGGGGGGGGGGGGGGGGGGGGGGGGGGGGGGGGGGGGGGCATTGCGAGTACTAGAGCACACAGAGAAGCCAGAGCAGAACTCGGCCGCCTCTTGGAATGTTTTGACCTAGGGAGATTGACCATGCATCGCAACGGTGTCTCTGTACGAGTGCAAGACGCTGAGTCGAGTACGGAGTACTGCGGAGTACTACTATCAGTTCCACCGTGCTCCTGACGAGCACTAGCAGATATTGTTATAGTGGTAATACTTATGGATCAAACACTCAGTTACCGGCAGCATCCGCTAGATTGAACGATTAAAGTCTAGTACCTTTTACCTGCTATAATAGGTACTCGTACCCATCAGGGTCTCTYTYTTTTTTTTTTTTTTTTTTTTTTGGTATGGGCTGTTACGAATGCTCAAATGTTGGTTGGCAGGTTTCGAGGAACTAGGGGTAGATAGCCATCATTACTCGTAATCTGTAGACTCTGAATGCGTGGATTGCGACGTACCGTCGACGGTACGGGATACTTGTCATGCATGCCATCTTGATATTTTACTGAAATGATAAAAGGCTTGTGTATACTATGCTTTTGTTTGCAATCTGTATGCATCATGGCGATATCAGATAAGGTGCATTGATTCGTGTTCGTGACTCGTCACCTCCTCCTTCTCCTCCTCTCTCCTGCTCGTGGACAGTTCGACAATCAGCCATGAGGCCAGTACCATAGAGCAGGGGTCGACGTCGGGTGACAGCAGGGCGATTGCCACGCATGATCCCATGTCACTGCTGCTGTTGACCAGACTAGCGAGCAGTCGCACATTCGAGTACGAATACTAGCAGTGATGTGGATGCGGCCTCGGCCACGCAATGGGCCACCGCTAATAAGGCTCTGCAAAAATGTAAAATGTACCTGCTGTTGCTATTATCACTGCCACTGGCGTCTACTGCGGTCTATCAATGCTGCTGCTGATAGTCCTAGGCGACTGGCGGCACTTTAGCATCTGGCCAAACATCAACCCCTCCTCCCACGCGTCCCTGTTTTTCTTTCCTCATCGTCCCTGCCTGTGCCGAATACTGTCGCTGCCGATGGACTGCTGCTACTACCTACTGGAAACAGTGAATGGAATGTTCAGCTAGCATGGACGTGTAGATCATAGAATGCCCTGACTACCCGCCCATACATGTATTAGGTGGTGCGGCGATGATACACCACTTAAGTAACAGCAGTAGAACAATGTACACCAGCACATGCTACTTACATCGCCACCACGATAGATGCCACCGTCAACTAAATAATACTTACCATTCAACTCGTCCAATCTGGCCTGGCCCACCACCCTCCTCCCTTTCTTCCATCTTTACATCTGCATTATTACCGCGCACGAAATCGTCCATCTGCTATGTCTCCTCTCCCTCTCCCTTCTCTACCGTTTTGAAATCATACTATCTTCTTTGCCCCCTCCTCCTCCCCCCCCCTTCCGGCCCTCTCTCTCTCTCTGCCCCCCCTCCATTCCCCTCTCTCTCCTCGCCACCCTCGTCTCATCCTCCCTGTCTCTGAAAACTTGCCCCTCACCACCGTCCCCAAATCGGAAACACAGATCGTCATCCCGCGCCTTCGCTTCTCTCTCGTTTTTTTCTCGTCCGGCTCCATCTAATTCTCGGTCCATCGTGACCTCTTACCGCTTCCTGTCAAATTGGCACTAGCAAAGGCCGCCTCTATTCCTTGCCCTGGTCACCGCCCACGTGCTTTTCCGCCTCTCTGATCCTATCCCGTTATCGATACAAACGATTACTATCATCAGGAAATTACTAGCACGTCGAAACCCTGAACGAAGCCCCCTTTCTCTTCCATCCCTCCTCAACCCCCCCCTCATTCGCACGAGTCTTGTCGCTGGTAATGCCAATCCCTTGAAACAAGATATCAATAGAGAAGAGTGGTTTGCTTGATTTTCCTCTCGCCTTGTTCAACATCTATCCTTGTTCCGTCTGGGCCAACAAAACATGTCGCCGGCAGCAACGCACGACGACCTCGGCCGCATTCGCCACATCCCGCTCAGATACGACAGCCGAAACGACAGCCATGCCTCTGCCCTGTCCATCATCCGTAGTCTGATGCCTGACTGGGCTTCGGGGAAGGATGACAATGTTGAGTTCATCCGGTTCACGGACGGCATAACCAACACCCTCCTCAAAGCCGTCAACCGCTCCCCGGGGCTGTCCCAGGCAGACGTCGACCGCGATGCGATCCTCCTGCGAGCCTACGGCAGCGGCACCGCCGTCCTCATCGACCGAGAGCGCGAGGCGGCCAACCACGAGCTGCTCATGAGGTACGGCCTCGCCCCTGAGCTGCTGGCCCGCTTCGAAAACGGCATGCTATACCGCTTCGTCCCCGGGACACCCTGCCAGCCGCACGACCTGCGCCGGCCTTCCGTCCTCGCCTCCGTAGCCCGCAGACTCGCAGAGTGGCATGCGCGCGTCCCGTGCCTCCGCATGACCTCCGCGCCGCTCGCCAACGGGCTTAGCAATGACCTGGCCAACGGTCCGACTAACGGCCAGAGTAGGGCCGTCCAGGCCGAGTCCGAGGCCAGGATTGTCAGCGCCTCCGGCGGCAAGCCCATCCCGAATCTCTGGACAACGATGCAGAAGTGGATCCTCGCCCTGCCCACGGAGACGAAGCAGCAGCGTGAAAGGCAGTCTCGGCTCCAACTCGAACTGGGTGACATTATCGGCAAGCTCAGTCAACGCCCAGGCCTCGGCCTCGACGGTGTACGGACCACCCCTCCCTCCCCCCTGCTCCCCCCCGGCCCTCCCCCCGAACGATTCCCAGTTGCTTGCTTCCCAATCACCGTAGAGAAGATGATGTTTTGCTAAGAAGAGGATGGTGTTGTAGCTGGTATTTGCCCACTGTGATCTCCTGTCCGCCAATGTCATCATGCACCGGGCCCAGGACGGAGGCCGAGACCGAGGCCAGGACCGAAGCCAAGGAAGCGGCGATCTCGGTAGCGACGACGTCACGTCAGTAAGCTTCATCGACTACGAATACGGCACCCCCTCGCCCGCAGCCTTTGACCTGGCCAACCACTTTGCCGAGTGGGCCGGCTACGACTGTGACTACTCGGCCGTCCCCACCGTATCCCAGCGCCGTGCCTTTATTCGCGAGTACATACGCGAGTATATCAAGCTATCCGACGGCCAGGACGGTAGTCTGGAATCAGAAGATGCCGAGGAGCGTAAGCTCATGGAAGAGGTCGATGCCTACCGTGGCGTCCCGGGATTTTACTGGGGCATCTGGTCGTCCATCCAGGCCACCATATCAGAAATCGACTTTGACTATGCCAACTACTCCGAGAGCCGGCTCAGCGAGTACTGGTCCTACAAGGAGGAAAGGGACGGGACGAGGGCAGCCGAAGGGCGCGAGATGTCCCTGCGCGAGAAGACCTGGTTTCGCGAAGAGTGACGTCCTCTTTCCGAGACGTCTGCAGCGTCAGCTGGGCACGAGGGTGAAGCTCCGGACGTGCTCTCCTCTCCCTCTCCCTCTCCCTCTCCCCCTTGACCTTCCTCGACACATGTACATTCTCGAGACCGGGTGCCAGGAAAGTACTCTCAGCACTGGACGGAACATATTCCAGACCCGAGCCGAGTCCCCCGCCATCAGATGAGGGACCCTCAAAAAAAGAAGTCCCGGTTCACATGAGGACAAGAGCGATGAGGACGGCACCCAGTCGGCAAGTTTCCACACCTTCTCCCCTGCTGTGACCAGGCCAGGGAGGGAAGCATGAGGCACCTCCCTGCTGGAGTGGGGAGAGGGGTTTTCTATCCACAGCGCGTGTGTGGCGTGGCGTCGGCGTATTCTTTATTTTTATCTTTATATTTTTTAACCCATTGATTCCTTTTTTTCCCCCTCACCCCTCTCACCCTTCTCGAACCTATCATGTTTCCTCATGTTTTCTCTGCGCGTTTGTCATCCTGTTTTAACATGACCATACACACACATACATATACCATGGATTTTTTGATTTTTTTTTTGCATTTCTAGGGAGACCTGTCTGCCTAGCAAGGGACGAAGCGTCGTTCCGCCCTGACCAAACGATGAAGTTGTTTGGAGAAAAAGAAGAAGAAGAAAAAGAAAGATGCGCGGGAATGAAAAGGAAGAAGAAGAGAGCTCAACCGGTCAAGAATATATAATATGTGATGTTCTTCACACACGACGAGAGATCTTCAACATGGGGCAATTTCAACATGGATGGTCTCAACATGGATGGTTTGACAAGATAGAATACAATAACAACAGAAAGGGATAAATCGTGAATGAAATAATACAAGTATAAACCGACTCAGAAAGATCAAGAAGAGGTCCGAACGCCCAAGTAGAGAGTCGGACGCCCAGGTAAAAAGAAGAAAGAGAGGATGGGTGGGTGGTACGATGCAGTAATACTTGTGAAGTTGCCATCTGACAAGATGGAGGGGTGACGCAACGCAACGCAGCGGAGAAGGAGAAAAGGAAATACCCCATAATCGATGGAATGTACAGATTATGGATAGACATGTACGGATACAAGACATGCATGTCGGTACGTTGTTGGAAGAAGCCAAGAAGATGAGTTTTTTTTATATATATATATATATATATGTATGTATGTATGTATATTATATAATAAGCAACAAGATGCAAGAGACCAAAAGGTTGTGTTTTGCGACCCCGTGCTTACTTACATGACAATGTCACCCACGCAAGGTACGAGATAGGCAAGTCCGCACGCCGCACCGGAATGTTGCGTGCTGAAAAGGAAGAAGAGAATATCTAGATCTGACTCAGAGGCGTGTGTTCATGGTGGAGAAGAAAAGTTCAACGGCTCGTCTTTCAAACACCAGCATGCAACGCTTTGGGAAAGGGCGCTTTGGAAAGGGGCATACATCGATACTGACAGACCAACTGCTAGTAGCCCTGCATATATATACACGGTACCAGGGCGTCCGAAAGTGAGGCAGCGGAGATGGTTGTCCGCCATGTCTGAATGCAGATACGTCAAGACGTCAAGATCGACTTGTGGGTTGGCTGGCATTAGCAGCGACGCTATCCTAGTATATACGGAACCTGTCTGACACACACACACACACACTCTCTCTCTCTCTCTCTCTCTCGCGCGCGCGCGCGTTTCTCCTGGGCTGAGGTTCTATTGTTGCCGTTGTTGACATCGTCGTCATCAGTACAGATGTACAGATTACAGAGATTACCGTAGAATTCATCATCCAAACAGCGAACCCACGAAGGATTGTATTGATCTCATGCTCAAACATGCACGGGCCTCATGACGCGCCGTGCTCCGGCAAATGGAGCATTGAATTCTACGGTCCAGAGATGACGGCGGTCAGTTATGGATCTGCACTTCTCACCTCTGCACTCTGCCGTATCACTGCATATGCATACTCGAGTATTACGCCCCTCCCCACACACACACACACACAGAGAGAGAGAGAGAGAGTGAGAGAGAGGAACTGGAACTGGTAAAACCCGCAAAGTAACCTTGGCCCTTGGGGTGACGGGTTGCTGATAGCCTGATACTATGTGGTACCCGCCCACCCCGGTCATGTCAGCATCACCTCGTCACAACGGCCGGTATTCGCGACATGTACGGAGTAATACAGAGAAGGAAATGATGGAAAGTCTGACCCTCACAACGTTGAGGAGGAGCGAGAGCTCGGCGCCCGCTCTTTTGTACTCTCGTATACTCTACATACTGTAGATGATCCGGTTCCAAAAGCTGTCACCATCCATCGCCAAACAGCTTCCTCTCAACCCCCCCCGCAAACATGCGCGTGGGGTTCTCCAACCTCGCTCGCATGCTACCATCGCTGCAGCAGAGTGTGTGTGCGTGTGGCAGACGGGGACGGTCCTGTGCTCTGAGCGGCCAACGACTACGTATCTATATCAGCTGTATCAACTTGGCACGTATATTCATACCGCCACGAGGCGTGGCTTATCATTATATATACTACCCATCTACGGGCAAGAGAGAAGAGAAAGCTACCGTACTTGCTATGATATGCATTACTATAGAGTACCACCCATACAGTAGTTCCCGTCTTGATGGAAGAGGCACGCCTCATCCTGGCCCGCCAGCGCGAGGGTTTGACCGACGGATATTGCTCCGCCTCCCCCCTCCCCCCCGGGGCTAACTCATCCCCGATAGAGGTACTCGCGAGTCACCACCACTCTCCTCTGTGGAGCCTGTTGACTGGTTGGCATAAGCAGGGCAGCGCAGCGTCGTAGACACACCACGCGCGGAGACTCGGAGAGGTACAGCGTGTGGATCGTCTCCCAGGCGCATGACTGGGATCGTGAGTCCCGTAAACGGAACTATCCTGGCCAAGGACCGCACAGACGCTCACCTTCCTCGTGTGCGTGTGCGTGCGTGAGCGGTCTCGTTTGTAATTCATACGTCTGGCTGTACGGAGCGAAGCCGTGTTGGTTGCCGTCGAATCTGCCAAGTCGGCGATTCAGGAGGAAGCGTGCCAATCGCTCAACCCTCTCCCCGTCTTTCATGGAGAAGCTACAGTTCACGAGCACGACTGTAGTACTCATCATCGTCAGATAAGACCTCCGGAACAGGGCTCGGAAGGAACGCTAGGGAAAGCCAGGACGCCATCAGCTTGTTGGGTGCAGCTGCTCCGCACAAGCGTCAGTCCTCCTCCCCATGCCGGTTCTCGCTTACATACCCGCTACAGAACAATATTGGGTAGGTGTGCCCAACACACACACACCACTGCCGAGTTCCCTTGGGCACCCTCCTACTTCATACTAGCAGTGCATGCTGGCAGTGCTGTCTTGGCTTGCTTCCCGCCTTGCCTCCCCTCGGTCTCCTTCCTCCCCGTCTCTCTGCGGACCGGCTGTCATCTGGCGATGTTACCGCTCAGATTCTGAACCCGTCACCCGACGCCGTACACATCTGATACTGGTCGGTACCCTCCCGACAACCTCCAGCTACTTGATTTCATATAGCATCGACCCCTTCTAGTCAGGCTTGAGATACGATCAGCTCCAATGCTCTCTCTCTTGCCATGCTCCGACGGATGACCGCAGCAGACCTCCCCAGCCTTGTCGATCGGCCGTACTAGCAAGTCAGTTTCTCGGCAAAGAAGCCCATCTCGCCATCGTCGTCGAGAAAGTCATCGATATTTGAAGGGAGAAGAAGAGAGAAAGCCGAGAGCGGGAAGGCAGGAATAGCTAAAGAAGAGAGGGAGAGAGAGAGAGAGAGAGGGGAGAGGAGACGACGTCATCTGCCAACGGTTGGATAGAAAGACGTCAACAACCCTACCACCAGTAGGAGCCGAGAAAGTCCGACATAATGATATATACTATACAAGGAAGAGAAAGGCAAGTCCAGATGTCCAATGTCACATCCTATGTAGGCCATGTAGGCAAGAGCACAGGCGCTTCTCCCAACTACGTTGCCTACCAGTTCGTGTCGGAAGGAGCACAGGTGTCTCACGATATCTCCAGGGACTCGGCCGTGCTAGACATCACCACTGCACAACACCACCGCCTCGGAGGGGGACAAGGTGCCGCGTCCAACACGGCACCGACTTCGTCGGCATCTTCGACGGTCCCAGCCTGGCAGACACCCTCGTCGTCGCCGATACCGTCGGGCTCGCCGCCGTCCGGAACCGACCACCACGAATCATCCTACCACCATGACACCCTCATGGCGGATGCCACATTCCACAAAGGCTCGCAGGAGGCAGTATGCCGCCAGATGGCCGGCTCCGCCGACGCCGTCGCCGACGTTGATGGCGCTGTCCGTCAACTGCGTCAGCAGCAGGGCGATATTCAGACACGCCTCGACGCCCTTTCCATTTCCCGCAGGGATTTTGACACTTCCGAGGAGCTTCGCATGCTCATCCACAAGTATCTCATTCTCCAGAACATCGTCCACCAGAACGGTACGTACTCCCTCGCTGGATCCCATGGGCTGACTCTCGAGCTGTGCAGCCTTCTCTATCCCTCTCCCTCCCTCCATCTCTCTCTCTCTTTGATGGCGAGTTGCGCTAATCTGAATCAAGGCTTGGACTCGCGAATCCCTGTACTTTCCGAGGCTGAAGAGGCTCGGTCCCTCCAGTTTCAGTGCGAGCGCCTCGAAGCTTCGTGTATCCAGTACGGTACGCTTCATCCCTTTTCTCATACTCTGAATTTGGGTTGGGTTGCTCACACCACGGTGCTTTTGCAGGCAGCATTGATCCAGCAGAGGCCCTGAAGCAGTCTTCATGCAATGGACCGGAAGGCTTTGCCGACTGGCTCGAGAAGCATATCGAGCGAAGCGACCCAGTGATGGGCAATGCGGGCTCGAACTATCCTGCCGTCGTATCTGAGGCCTCGGCCGTGGAGTCCCAGACACCCCATCGACACGTCTCGCTACGCTCGTATCGCTGCTCCGACGAAACCTGCGCACACTATATATACGGGTTCCCGACCGAGGACGGCCGTCATATCCACGCCCACGCACACTCGAGACAGTCTTCCGACAGATACTCGGATGCCTCACCTGCCAAGCCATCGCCGTGTCCTCTGCAGCTGAACCATGCGACTGATCTGCGGACCATGCCAGATTGCTCCTACCAGGTCCCGCCTACATGCCAAGCACGCAGTACCTCCAGCAACAGCCCCCCCCCGCTCGGCTTACAGATCCAGATCAAGGACACACTAGAGTCGGGGGGCTTGAACTTCTCCAGTGACCTTCCAGATACCCGTAAAGTGCCATACAAGGCTGATAGTGACTCTATGCTGCCACCTCTAGATGGTAACCTTAGAGCTGGACGTTCTCGCCTGCAATCGATAGGGGAGCTTCAACTTGTGCGCAAAACAAGCGCCTGTCTATACTGCAGGGTGTTTGGGCTATCGGTAAGGGCTTCGTGTACGCCATCGCTGAAGCTTTCCTTGGGCTGACCCCGTACCAGTGTGACAGTGACCAGAAGTGCGGAGCCTGTTCGAAGCTGCTCCATGGGCAGCAGCATTGGAGAGTATTGGCATGCCGTCGCGGCCCCATCGCATCCTTTGTCGACGTCTTCCTAGCAGGTACGTTGACCTAGTTGTGTAACGAGGGCTCTGGGGTTAACATGATGGTGTTCCGTCAAGACATGTCTGCGACTGGGCAGACGACCAGTCCCGCCCCCTCGCCCGTCGTCCAGGTGCGCGGCGACGGTCCGACCCAGATGCATTCATTCATCAGCAGCATGTCCGGGTATGTACGAGAGATGATTGACTTTCCGGATGCTTTTTGGTCGTCCTGCCGTACCGAGCAGAAGCGATGGCCTCGCACTGCCGCTCATGGAGAGGGCCAGGGTCGAAAGCAGCCTGCCCATGATCTCCTGGTCGCATTCGCGACGAGTCACAACTACCGAGGCACAGCGTACGATATATTCCAGCTTCTCAAGGTTACCGGCAAGCTGTCCAGGACCAGGGAGATGGAGGAGGCGGAGTACCCTGTGCTCTTCCATGCCAAGTTCCTGCTCCGCGAGATGCTGCTGTACAGCGACGCGCAGTCGGAGTCTGCCGTCTACGCCAACAGCAGTGCGGCCGGGCGTCCGCCTCTGGATGGCGCCGACGCCAGGAGGCAGATGGAATCCATATACGAGCAGCTCGAGCGCTATCTGCAGGTCTTCGAGGAAACGACTCTCCAGCACAGAGAGGTTCATGGCCGAGATGGGAGACCCGGCGTGAGACAGTGGCTCGGCACATTCTTCTCCCTGTGCCTGTTCAGCGTCGTCCGCGAACTGCTTATCGACATGGAGCTGCTGCAGTGGCCACAGACACTAAAGTCGTCGGCCCCCCCCCCTGGAAGCTCGACAGGCTCGGAGATGATACCCACCCGCACCTGCATCATGCATGGCGCGTACAGGGCAATGGTCGACACCTTTGGCTCGGTCGGGCCGTCGCCGATGGACAGCCTCGCGGGAGCCTTGCTCCCAGAGGAGCTCTCCATCATCGAGGTGTCCTCCCAGATCGTCCGGCGGGAGACCTGGGCCGCGAGAAGCCTCAAGTCGAGCTACCACTTCCTCGAGCTGCTCGGGTTCGGTCCCCCGGAAGACCCCGTCGTCCACGGGTTCGTGCGTCAGCTGCAGAGCTCCGGGAACAGCCACGCCGCGCTCCAGCTTGCCGCCAGAACCGCAGGCCAGGGGTCCGAGAGCCCGGCAGCAGGCATCGGCCCAGAAGAAGCACCCCGTACATACCGTTCCACACGGGATCACTGCAGCTACGGGAGGCATTCGGGCTCGCCAGACGATGAGGTCGGGGGGCAGGTATCGCCCTGGTGCACGCCTCGGCACGCGAGGCGGCACAACGTGGAGACGATCCCGGCCTCACCGCGCTCCCTCAAACGCCGCAGGACGAGGGCAGCAGACTCGGAAACCCCGGGAGGGGTCCCGCGAGCGCGGCTGCCGCGCGTGTTCTGCACTAAGTGCACCGAGCACCCCGAGGGCTTCAGGGGAGACCACGAGCTGAGGCGGCACACGGAGGCCAAGCACGCGGCACTGGTGAGGCAGTGGGTATGCAAGGAGCCCGGAGGTCAGGTGCCAGCGGGGGGCATCGAGCCCACGGTCCCGCTGGCCAGGTGCAAGGCTTGCCGGTCCGGGAAATCATACGGCGCCTACTACAACGCCGCGGCCCACCTCCGACGAGCCCACTTCCACCCCCACCGGGGATCCGAGGCGAAGGCGAGCAGCGACTGGCCTGCGATGAACATACTCAAGGACTGGATGCAAGAGGTCTTCCGAGTGTCGGGCTGGGCGGCGGAGGATGACGGGTCCATGGGCGACGTCGACGGCCACGAAGGGAGGCGAGGACGTCATCAAGGCGTCAGGGCTATCCACGGCACGGCTACCTCGTCGCGGCACCAGCACATATCAGTGACAGACGGCAATGTCCACTCCCCCGGTTCTCGGGGCGGCCAGCTGGCGAGTCCGGGCTGGGTAAGGGAGGACACGGGCGGCGGCCGATGCCCGCATCCGGATTGCGGTCGCGTCTTCAAGGACCTGGCATCGCACATGGTCACGCACCAGGAGGAGAGGCCCGAGAAGTGTCCGATCGTGACTTGCGAATACCACGGCAAGGGGTTCGCCCGCAGATACGACAGGAACCGCCACGCCCTGGCGCACTACAGGAAGACGATGCCGTGCCCGTTCTGCCCTCGGGACGGGGCAGGGTACGGCACGAGCTTCAACCGCACGGACGCCTTCAAGAGGCACCTGACGCAGGTGCACCACGCAGAGCAGACACCGCCCAACAGTCTCAAGCTGTCTGCCGGCGGGGCCGGGAGCACGTACAGTCACCACGACGGCGGCGGTGGCGACGGTACGGATGGCAACGACGGCGGCGGTGGCGGTGGCGACGCCGGATGCACCATCTGCTGGAGACGATTCGGGACGGCTCAAGACTTTTACGAGCACCTGGACGATTGCGTTCTCGGCGTACTCGGAAAGTCTGTCTCGTAACTCTTTCTTGTCTTTTCCCCTCTTCCTGATTTGAAAGAAGAGAGAGATGAGATGGTGGGTGAAAGATATATAAAAAAAGAAAAGAAAAGAAAAGAAACCGAGTCGTTGGTCAAGCTACTGAATCCAAGGATGCCGCGTTTAGCAGATCCAGGTATCTCCGCCTCGTCCCGTTGGTCAATTGCTAGATCTGATGAGGTCCGTCTCCCAGTGTAGAAAACGGGGGGGGG